CTGGGCCAGGCTCACTCCTTCTCTAACGCTCCTTTCTTGGGAATGATTTCAGAGAAATTCTGTAGTCCCTGCTGGGGGCACACCTCTCATGACCTAAGTTCTTCCCACTAGGTCTCATCTTGTGAAGGTTCTACTAGATCTCAGTTCTGCCGCTGCAGGGATCAAACCTCCCATACACAAGAAATCTCATCCTAACCATAGCAAGGAAGGAATTGCTAGCCCCTGTGGCTGTCTGGGGAGATATCCTGGTTCTTTACAGCAGTCTGCTCCTGAGTCATCTGGGACCAGAACGCCAGTCGTAGGATGCATTTGCCACCAGGAGCAACATGAAGCTTCAGAAACCAATGTCTGCAGAGGCAACGGCTTCCCTAAGGGGATCTGGGCTTCTAGGAGGGAACATGGTATTAATCTCACCAGTTGCCTAGGATGGTGCTGATCCTGTTAGGCAGCTTGGTGGGACAGTGAAGGAAAGGTGGTGTGTGTGTGTGTGTGTGTGTGTGTGTGTGTGTGTGTGTGTGTGTGTGTGTGTGATAGTCATTGTGTATGAGTTGAATATAAGAAGCCAACTCAAGGTAAAGCTTTTCCTGGATATTTTTCCAAGCCATTTATTAACACACAGTCCATCAGCGCATCCGACACACGTCTCCGTGTGCAGAATCTTGTATGCTGCAAGGGCTCAGGGAACGACACTCAGACTCTGGAGGAGATGTTAGGAGCAAAGAAAAAGGGAGAGAATACGTTCTTAGGGCTCCTGCGCTGAGGGCTTCGGAAGAGAATCTTCCTTAGGGCTCCTATAGAGAAAGGGCTCCTGGAAGCAATCACAGAGGAAGGGCATATACTTTAACACGCACCCATTGGGTGCCTGGAATGGGCCAGGCGCTGTGATAAAGAGTTCAAAGCTAAGGAAGACCCAGAGTTGCTGTTGGGGAAGCACATGCTGTGTGTGTGTGTGTGTGTGTGTGTGTGTGAGAGAGAGAGAGAGAGAGAGAGAGAGAGAGAGAGAGAGAGAGAGAGAGAGAGAGAGCGCGAGCGAGCTGGTATCCAAATACACACGCAGATGTCAACATCGTGGCTCACCCTGCCTGCAAGTAGGAAGCACTCTAAGCAAGGAGTCTGTGGTTCTCTGTAAGGTCAGCGGCTCAGAGCTTGTGTCTACAAGTGTCTCCTCCACCCCAGGGCTACACAAGCACCCAGATAGCCCTCCAAGGCAGCAGGCTACCCTGTGCTTTCCACACCCTGAGGATGCTGTTTGGAATCTAAGAATTCCTTTTTGTTTTTGTTTTTTTTCAGCCAGAAGATGTCCACAGAATGCTTACCAGGTAGGTAGCAAGTATCACACCATTCAGTGGGACTAGGAACGTAAGATTGGAAGAGCTAGGAACGTAAGAGTCCAAGGCAGGTAGGACGGAACCATGTCCAAAGATGCTGCCTCAGGAGACCAGCTCAGCCATGTGGGTGCAGAGTTAGGAGAGGGACGAGCCTGGGATGTGAATGTGGGATGAGGCCAGAGGAAAGATCTGGGGCCTGTGGTGCAACTCTTCTGTGGGAATTCACCGGGTACCACTCTGCCCTTCCTGTTCCTCTTTGTGGAAAAGGTTTTGGAAGGTGCTGATGTCAGAAATGGCAAATCGGGCTCTTCTCTGGGCTTCCTGCTGCCACCCCCAGGGCCAATGCCGTGGCCTCCTCCTACTGTTTCAGGGACAGGCCCGGCTTTGATTGATTTCAGCTGCTGTCCTAACCATGCCTTGGGCTGGGGCCTCCACCTGGTGTGACAAGCTGTTTGTTTTCACTGATGTTGTCCTGGTTATCTGAGTGACTCACTGGAGTCAGTGGAAGGCCCAGAGCAGAGAGGAACGGTGCTGGCTGATGGCCAGCCTGGGCTCTGAGCAATGGTTATCCCAGATGCCCAGATTGTACCCCACTGGGAGGAAGGAGCCTGCTCCCACAAGGTTATGACTTTTCTGTTTTTCCGAGTTTAGCAATGTGGCCTGATAAAGGCCACCGAGAGGCGCTGAAGGGGGAAGAAATGCAGAGCGGGAGATATGTTTTTGTTTGTTGTTTGCTTTTGGAGAGGGCATCATCACATAGTGGGGAAAGAAACACACGCTCTGCCCTTGAGTGGCCCTTTTTCTCCAGACGACGGGGGCAAGACCAGACAACTGAAGGGCGCAGTGCTGAACAAGTTGCAAGCTTGCAACAACATACCTTGTCCACGTTACCCACACCCGCTGTGGGGCTGTGGGCGGGGTGGCTGTGCGGGCAATCCCTGGTTGAACCTTCCGTGTCTTTTACAGACTCAGAAAGACGTGTGGGAGCACAGTTTTCAGGGCGCAGCACAGGAAGGGGACAAGTTTACTCACCCTGTCGCCCCCTTCTCCATCCTACTTGCCGGCTTCTCCAAATGCCTCGGCTCCAATGAACAAAGACCCGAGACTTTTGAAGGAAAAGGACCAGGTTGTTGAAGTCCAGAGTCTGCTAACAATCTACTTTAAGGGCAAGAGAAGAGGGGAGAAGGTTCACGAAAGTACAGTGTCCTGGGCTCCGGTCCCAGGGATGCTGCTGCTCACTACTCCCCTCACTGGTACTGGGGTACCGCTTTGCTGTATGGCCCCCAGGCATCATCCCCACAGCAACTTTACCCAAGGCACACTGGGTTGGAGGTCCTGTGTCCTTCATTGGTGTGAAATGGATCTGGAACAGAAACCTAGATCCTACTGCCCCTGCGTGCCCCAACCTGGGGGTTAACCTGGGGCATCAACACGATCATGGTTGCTGGCTGGCCTACCCCACTGTTATCCCACTGTGGAATTCAAGACACACATCACTTCAGAAAGGATCACACACACACTGGTGACCCTTCACCTCATCAGGCAATCTGCTCTTCAAGGCTCAGGGCAATTCCATCCCCCAGGATGAAGTCTTCACTGCTACCTCATCACTGTCTGCTCCCTCCCAGCACACCTTCACAGTAGTTAGCACTTTTCCCATTTCTTACCGTGTGCCAGCTCCATCATGTTCCCACAAGCCACCAGAGGCAGAGGCAGAGGCAGAGGCAGAGGCAGAGGCAGAGGCAGAGGCAGAGGCAGAGGCAGAGGCAGAGGCAGAGAGGCAGAGGCAGAGGCAAGGGATTTAACACATTTTAACAGATTTATCTCTGTCCCTGGGAATTGCTGCTAGTGCAGCTGAGAAGAGGCTTATGTGTAGAGAATGTGTTTACACACAGATTCAAAACAAAGACTCAGGAGCTGGAAGACAGAATATCCCCCCTGACATGGGAGGGAAATTGAAGACCCCAGGAGGCATCTGGGAAATGATGTCCCGAAAACATAAGATCTTGATGGTGGGTGGGAAGAGTCTCAGTGAAGGAAATACTTCTTGGCAGAGTGAACAAAGGTGTGGAGGCAGGGATCCATGCTTGTGCAGGGAACCACTGAGAGTGGGATCCTGCAGGGCCCAATCTGGCCAGCTCTTCTAAGTTTCTGTCATGGCGTCCGTGCCTCCTTCCTCTGGGTTTTACTGCCCAGCACTGTGGTAGCGACTTGACAAGGCACAAGGAAGCAGCAGCAATAGGACCAGCTTTTGTAAAGACCAGAGGCAGTCACTCTAGACCAAGGTTTTCCATGAATGGGTAGCCTTGTCAGCTTGTACCCCAGTGAACCCTGAGATACTCAGCATGGGCCTGGGTTTCACAAGGAACTTTTGAAAACATTGCCTGCCAGACAGGAGGCAGCTGACTGGAAAATATCACCCCTCAGCATGGGTTTCTTCTTCACATTTATTGTAGACTGGGGTGAACAGTAACTGGCGTGCAGTGGCGGCATGAACCGTGTTAGGGTGGCTACCCAGTAAAGCCGAAGAAAGAATGAGAGGAGAGGGAGGCTACTGTGGGAAGGTGGCTGCACTCCAGAAGGCTCTGGCTTTCCAGGCAGTTCTGCTGCAGACTTTAGGAGGTAAAGACACCTCCCTGCTCAATCTCCGGAGGAGACCTGGGGGAGGCCAAGAGTGCATGCTGTGGCCTCTGTCCCTTTTCCTAAAGGACAGACTCAACGCTGGGATTGCAAGGCAAGACCTTTGCATGTCAGTCTCACAGAGCAGTTCAGCTGCCTCCCTCAGGATCATCTGGGGCTTTCCAGGAGGTCCCAAGTCACTGGTTCGAGGCTAAGGTTTTGTTTCTTTTTCCTCTAATTCAAGACCCCCTAAGCTTGGAGTAAGGAAGAACTGGAAGCATAAATGGTTACGGACACGTACTGTAAGCAGAGTAGCAGGCACCCCAGTTTTGTCTGTGTCTCCAATCACACACTCAGGCTGGTGCTCAAATCGCAGTCATCTTTCCCAGGGCACAGAAAATTCACTTTTGGGTTTGTCCACCTGTAGGGAGTCCTTCATCCATGTGTGAATGCTGCCACCTGCTGGTTACTTGTAGACAGTCCATTGTTCTCCCTATGCCTGTTAGGCCTGAAGCAGGGTGGGCTGGGCAAAGGGGCTGGAAACACTCCTCTCCAATCTCTCTCTGTCTCTCTGTCTCTCTGTCTCTCTCCCTCTGTCTCTGTCTCTGTCTCTCTCTCCTTGTTGTTTTTCCTCAACAATGATATATATAGTGGGTGCTTTTATTGTTTTATTAATAAATAAAGCTCGGGAGTCAGATATTAGAATATAAATCTGATAGATCCACAGAGTGACAGACACGATCAGCTGACCCTCTCCTCCACCTGCCCCGATTGAAAAAGCCTGAGACTCTTTCCAAGCCCCTTCTTATTTCTTTCTATGTCTCTCTATCTTCATCTGGGTCCAGCAGGAAACTCTATGGTTTATTCTGGCCAGCTGAACGTGGACTCCACCCTCTGAATTAAAGTTTAACTCCATTGGCAGTCTCAGAGCGACAGTACAAACAAATCTCACGCAACATGAATATTGTGTTTTGAGAGCTATAGTGTCCCACAGTCATGTGCTTCTCTTGGTGCCTCTCATTCACCTGTGTCTTCCCTGTTCTTTCCAAACAGCCACCAGTCAGCAGCCAGATCTTGCTTACCCACCCCTTGTCAACATCAGGTTCAAGTTAGCATGCATTTATGGAGCACCTGATAGGAGCTAAGCATGGGCCCAGAGAGAACAGTGAGGATCTGAACTGTTCACAAGCGGCTGGGAAGGCACAATAACCAATGCATAAGAGCAGTTTCTATCTGAAGTGTCATCTGAGCAGAATTCTAAAGGATAAGCTGGAGTAAGATATGCGAAGATAAGGGGAAAGAAAATTCCAGTCAAAAAGATGAGCAATTGGATATGACTTTTTCAAATATAGAAACTGATTGATTTGTTTTCTGATCTACTTCTTTGTTGTTCCCAAAAGATGGACCATGAACATTTCCTTTTAACCTCTGGGCAAATTGAAGAATCAATCAGAAGTGAAAAGAACTTCTCAGTTGCTAACCATTAGATTCTGAAGCTAAGGGGCTTCCATGTCTGCTGTGAAAGGACAAGAAGGAGGCCTGGGGCTGTGGGAACTGCATCATGGCCGGAGGTCACTGGAGGCAGAGAATGTGTCTTCCCCAGCAGAGAGTCCTCCAGACCATCACAACAAGAGGCGTCTAGATCACTACTCCCACATTGGTCCCTACATACCCCAAGGCAAGTATCAGCACTCCAGAAAGAAATGGATTCTCTCACAATGAATGTATAACCTTGCATGATTTTTAAGTTCCAAGGATGGCAGAGACATCTTGGAGCCAACAGGCCTATGACTTGCAGATTGAGAGCACCCAGATGTGACCCTGATTCTCCGTGTGGAAAACATCCAAGGACAAGACCTCTTAGGCTTATGAAGGATTCAAGAACCTTGGCATAACTCTAGAAACAGAGAAATACAAGTTCAAATCAAGATGAGAAAATACAAGAACTCAATGTTCTTGCAAACCTCGGGCTGACAGCCGATTTGTGCAGGTCACGATGTGAATAAGGGCAAAGCAGGACCTCTGCTCTGAGCAAAGTTACAAGAGCAGTACAGTGCTGGGGGGATCGCCCTGTGGGCCTTGGCTTAGTCTCTAGTGATAGGATGAAAAAAAAATGTACGACCTCAAAGTCTATGGGGACACACCCAATGTGTGATGGAAGAGAGGAGGGAGGGACTCCATAATCTGTTAAAGTATCCGGAAAATCTTCATGACTGACTTTGGAAGATAGAAAGAATCCGAGAAGTGATGAAGGCCACAGAGTTGAGGTGGTGCAGAGTGTTTGCAAGGAGCTGGCATGCCTGGACTACAGCATAGCCATGCCTGGCTTGGACAGGGGTTTAGAGGGAGGAACAGGACATCCAAGGAAGAGGCCGATGGGATGGGGTCAGAGTTCCACCCGATAAAGAAGAAGTGGAAAAGGCAGAATATAAAGTGAAAGAGAAAGTGTTCACCACACCCATCCTTCTCGAGTTTCATCTTTGCTCAATGCCTTCTGGAACAACTCAGGTGAGGCATTCTCAGTGTCGAGTGGTAGTGAGACACACCGTGGGGGTGTGTTTCCATTGGCAGTACGTGCGTGTGCCGGGAGGAAGCACACGAGGGATCTACGGCTACCACTACACACACGCTACTGTGGACTGTGAAACTTTTACAACTGGCCACAGAAAACAACTACTGAGACCCCTGCTGGCCAGGCCAGTGGTAACCAAAAGCAAGCAGCCATTCTTCTACCACCCCTTGAGGCCCCAGGCCTGGTCAGGAGCAAATGTCCCAGCGATGAAGTCTTCTCTGGTCAGTGATGTTTCATATGAAACATCACTGAATAGCACTTAGTTTGTGCTATTTTAAAATAGCTAAGTTTGAATAGCACTTAATCTTATTTAACTTAGAGAGAACCAGATTTAGAAGTGGTATAAGTATCAGCGGGACCGTGGACTCTGGAATCAGGTTACATGAGTATGAATATTTGCTCTGCCACCTATTAGCTTTGTGTCAGAGAGAATTATGGAGCCGGTGCCCCTGTTTTCTCTTAAGGAGACACAGGCAGCATACTCTGTGTTAGGATGTGAACCCATCACCTGGGAAGTGCCTAACTCATGCAGAGAACTGTGGTCCTGCAAGGCTTTGGGTGCTACTTTGTCACATAAAACTAGAGAGGACGCTTAGAAGTTTATTGTTAGGAGACCTGGAGAGCTCTTCAATGACTAGTTAATTAGTTTCTTGATTTCGACTCTGGCTTTAGAATCAAATGGACAAGGGATGCTGACTGCAAAGGTAGGTAACGAGACTGAACGGTGGGCTGGAGGCTAAAAGTTCAGGACATTCTGTGGCTCCAGAGGGCCTGGAAATCTGTCCGAAATTTCCCCCAGAGAGCATTTAGATGTATTTCATCTTCCAGAAAGCCATGCTCATCTGAGGCCAGACACAAAATAGAGAGCAAATTTGATGCTACTTTTAGTACATGAGTTACACAGTGTCTAAAGATTTTTAAAAAAAAATCACACACCCTTCAATGCCTTCTCATTCTTAGTTCCAACACATCTCAAACACCTTAGCACGCCCCTCAGGTCCTGCCAGGGTGCTGCTATCAGTAAGAACAACCCCTGTATGCTGTGGGATGTTCTGTATGTCCTGTGGGAGCCCTTCTTGGGTTCTTTGTGGCGTTACCCAGCAGGTCCGCATAGAGGATGATTAGGACCATGGGCCTGAGTGCAGGTGTCTGAGATGGTCTGCACTTGGCTGTGCTGGGGGATGGTCTGTATGTCAAGTTGTTCTGATTGATCAATAAATAAAACCTGATCGGCTGTGGCTAGGCAGGAAGGATAGGCGGGACTAACAGAGAGGAGAAATAAAAGAACAGGAAGGCAGAAGGAGTCACTACCAGCCACCGCCATGACCAGCAGCATGTGAAGATGCCGGTAAGCCACCAGCCACGTGGCAAGGTATAGATTTATGGAAATGGACTAATTTAAGCTATAAGCACAGTTAGCAAGAAGCCTGCCACGGCCATACAGTTTGTAAGCAATATAAGTCTCTGTGTTTACTTGGTTGGGTCTGAGCGGCTGTGGGACTGGCGGGTGACAAAGATTTGTCCTGACTGTGGGCAAGGCGGAAAACTCTAGCAACACCTGTAGCCCTCAATACTCATCATCCAGAAAGGTTCACAGCTCTTTGTCTGAAATGGAGGGAATTAAGTGGCAGGGCCATGGGATTTGGTTTTCAAAGCATAGTGGGAGGAACCGACGTATGTTACAGAGGATGGGACAGTGTCGTGGCCACAGGACCACCCTTTCCCCTTCTGCTTTCTTTGAGGATGGCTTTCCTCTGTACCTTCTCAAGGAGTAACTTTTCTTCCATATCCTCTTGAGGGGTAGGAGGGTACCTTCTTCACACACCCTTGCAGTTCAGATCATTCTCCCTCTTTGTCTAAACAGCCTGCCTAGCTTTGGGCCCAAAGATAGCTCAGTGGGGGAACGCTCTTGCCACACATGCCTGACAAGTTCAGTGTCTGGAGCCCATGCAAAGAGCTGGATGCAGTGGTACGCATCCATGATCCCGCATTCCTCCTGTGAGACAGGAGAATCAGCTGGGAGCTCCTGTATGAGCTAGCCTGGGGTATGTAGCATGGCCCCAGAAATGACAAGAGAGACCCTGCCTCCACACAGTGGAAGGTAAAGAACAAACTTCCAAAATTTGTCCTCTGACCTCCACACATGCATTGTGCTCCTTTATGTGCTCTTGCACCATGTGTACACACACACACACACACACACACCAAATAACAGCTCAGCTTTGAATGCCAAATAGCTTGCAGTATTCACTGCCTCTCAGTGTCGTTCCCCAAGGGCCCCCGAGTACTTCTCATTCATTCATTTAGCTTACTTATATTTGTGCAACAAAACTCTGTCTTTCATAAATCCTGTGCCCCCTCCCTACTTGCACCCACGTAGCTAACCTTGGCTAAAGGAAAGCACATGTTCTTCGTAGCCCATCTAACTTTAACTCACAATCCTAACCTCAAGTGGGCCTTCTGTGATGTCTGGCAGTTATGGGACCACTCATTCTGCTACATGAATATTAAACATCCCTTTTCTCTTTAGACTTCCCACACCTTCTTTCCCACTGGGCCATCTCAGCTGACGGCCTTGGAGGAGAAGTAGTCCTCACAGTGAACTTCCTCAATTTGACTCTCAGCGTCGACCTACACACCTGATTGGTGTCCCGATTCTTACCCTTTCCTCCTACCACCGTAGATGGACTCCCTGGGCAGAAGACACTCCATCGCCAGGGCCCCGGATCTCATTCTTCGTCAGTTCCTTGAGTATACCATCATGTTCCCTGTTTTCTTTGCAGTAGAGCTCTCAAAATGATGTGTTTTTCTCATTGACTGTAATTCCTCTCCTGACTTACATCTGATCCAGTCAGGCTTTGCTCCCATGTGACCAGATGAGTGACAGTTCTGAAACCTTATTAACACGAATTCTTCACATCATTGGACATGATGGGCCGTGCCCTTCCTGGCCATTTGTTTCTCTTGAGCGTCAGGACATCACATCTTCCAATCTCTTTTCAAACCCCTCTTGCTCAGTTCTCTTTGCCTCTTTTGTGGTATGTTTCTCACTTCCTCTGTCTGTTCACATCTAATTGGCCCACAGTGAAGATCTTGAATTTCTTGATCAATTGGATGGAATTGAGGACCCACATATAACCCTATATTCTTACAGTCACATGATTTTTGACAAAGAGGTGAAAAATGCACATCGGAGAGAAGATAACATCATTAACAAATGGTGCGGGACAAACTGGCTAGCTGTATGTACAGGAATGAGGCTAGACCCTCGTCTCCCATTCTGTACAAAGCCCAACTCCAAATGGAACAAGGACCTCAGCATATGACCTGATATCCTGAACCTGATAGAGGAGAAAGTAGGAATGTGCTTCAGCTTATAGGCACAGGGCTTGTGAGCAGGACCTCTGTACTGCACATCTTAAGAATAATACTGATAAATAGGACCTCATGAAACTAAAGCCTTTTTGTACAGCAAAGAACACCATCATCTGAGTGAAGAGGCAGCCTAGAGAACAGGAAAAAGTCTTTATCATCTGCACATCTGACGGAGGGTTGTTATCTATAATACAAAGGACTAAAAATACAAATATAAATAACTATTAAAAATCGGGGTCTGGAGCTAAACAGAGAATTTTCAAAAGAAGGAACACAAATGGCTAAAATTATTTTTTAATGGTCAATGTCTATAGCTATCATAGAAATAAAATAATAAATAAATAAATAAATAAATAAATAAAACAGTTTTGAGATTTCATTTTACCCAGTCAGAATGGTTAAGATCATTAAAACAAATGACAAAAATTTTGACATGTTTGCAGAGAAAGGTCACATTATCCACTGTTAGTGGGAGTGAAAACTAGTATAGCAACTATGGAAATCAGTGTGGAGGTTACTCAGAAAGCTAGAAACAGATCTGCCATAAGATCTAGCTGTACTACTCCCAGGCATATTCACAAAGGTCTCTCCATCCTGTTACAGAGACGCTTGTCTATCCATGTTCATTGCTGCGCTATTCAACAACATTCAGGAAGTAGAAACAACCTAGATGTCCAGAATGGATAATGTAAATGTGGTTTACATATACAATGGGATATTACTCATTTGTAAAGAAAAATGGAAAGTGGCCTGCGCTGACATCTGAGGCCATGGTGATGTCTGGGTTTATTTATGCTGCCTCCAAGGGTCATGTCTGGGTCTGGGGTCCGACTGCAGCTGGGGTCTGTGTTGCCACCGAAGGCTATGCAGATGTCCATGGTCTGTGTTGCTGCTTGAACCCAGGGTGATGGCCATGGGCTGTGCTGCTGCCACCTGAGGTCATGTTGATGTCCTTGGTCTGTGCTGTTGCCAGAGACCAGGCTGAGGTCAATGGCATGTCACCAGAGACCAGGCTGAGGTCAGTGGCATGTGCTGACACCGGAGACCATGAGAATGTTCACAGTCCTTGCTGTCTCCAGCAACCATGTGTAAGTCCAGGATCCGTGCTCCCTCTGACTGTAAAGGTCACGGAATCTACCTTTGCCATGGTATTAGTGACTGCAGACTTACAGAAAGAAAGAGGGACGCAGAAGACTCCTGTGACAACCCCCTCACCCTTCCCCCCAAAAGTAACAGCCTAGACAGAAAGCATCAAAGAGAACTCTTTAAAACTGTGATAAGGGGTGCTGACATGTAGCTTCTTACAATTGATGGCTTCTGGTGGGCGTTTTGGTTCAGGTGGGGAAGAACTCAGTTTTCTTTAAAGGGCTGGCCACTGGGAGTTTGACCATGCTCCAGTGAGTATATGGGCAACATAAATTGGACTTGATTTATTTTGTTGTTGTTTGTTTGTTTTCTTTTTCTTTCTTTCTTCTTTTGTGAGGGAGATGTCTCAAGGGTTGGGGACAGACCTGGGAGGACTGAGAAATGAGGGTGCTTGGGGTTCATGATGTGACATTCCCAAATAATCAGTAAAATATTATGAAAAATAAAAATAAAAGGAGGCTGCAGAAGGAAAAAAAAACAAAATTGAAATTATGAAATTTTCAAGTAAATGGATGAGGCTAAAAACAATCATTCTGAGGTAATCCAGACCTAGAAAGACAAATGCCACATGTTCTCTCTTATAGCTTTGAATCTTTATATATGTGCATTTAAATTGGAGCAACCACAGAGGGCAGGAAACTAGTGGGGGGCCATGTGGGTAAAGCTGCAAGGAGAGATAGATGGACCACAGGGAGTATGAAGGGGGAAAGGGAATAACGGAAGGGTTCAATGAGGGTGAAGAATGGGAGATCAAGTAAAGGAGGGAGTATAAAGACTGGACTCACACTAAAGACCTTTGAAGATGCCATATGGAAACCTACTACTGTAGAAGCTTCCTAAATAAATACATTATACATATACATCATATACACGCACACCATATACATCACATATCACATACTTACACACCACATACACATACATCACATACATATATCCATATACACATACATATACAGTGGCTTCAGTGGATCATCCTGTAATGGGCACAATGGCTCCCCCAGGCACAGTGGCTATCTATCACATGAAAAGGTCCAGTGTCAGATGCAGGCTACCTCTTCTGGAGTTGTTCTTTAGTAAGGATCTGTGGAACGGGCTATTGCTATTGTTCTTGGTAACCCTTAAGAACTTGACGGTAAGACCCTATTGTTGGAGATGTCACATACCCAAGTCACAGAGCATGGGAAAATGAAGCTGGCACTGACCTGGAAGCTAGTTCCTGTTGACTAGCTTTCATAGTACTACAAGTTTCTATACGTGCTACCTGTGTAGAGAAGTCCTCAACAGTCTTTCAGCTGTGAACCCTGTGAGTTACGACAACTGGTGTTGCTGGAGGGCTTCTCTCCAGGTTCCCCAAGCCCCGCAGTCCCACAATCCATGTATAAAATAATCACTCAGACGCTTATATTACTTATAAACTGTATGGCCGTGGCAGGCTTCT